TTATAAAGAAACATTGCCTGTGCAGAGGTTGATATACTCTTCCATCAGTTCCTTGAAATTGGGAGGATCAAGCGGCCTGTATGCACGCCACACATTATTTAAATAAATTTCAATAACAGGAACAATCTCTTTCATGATGGAAATGAGATTAAATTATAAGTTCTGTCCCAAAATATTGACAGTTGTATCTAATAAGTTCCTGAACTTTAAAAAATAACTCATAAATTTTTAACTTTTCAACCTTCGGCCTAATAAGTTCTTGAAGTTGAAAAAGTATATAATAAGTTCCTGAACTGAACTTATAACTTATATCTAATAGATACTTGAACTTTAAATTTTATGTCTATTAAATTTTTAGCCTATTAGACAAGTTACGAAGTTTAGAGACTTTTTTGGACACAAAATTGAAAGTTTAGGAATTTATTGCACACTTTTTAAATTTTAGGGACCTATAAATGCTTTATAAAGTTCAATGAYTTGTTAAACACAACTCTCAAAATTGAAAGACTAAATTTGTAATTTTTTTTTTTAATATAAAACAAATATGTTGATAGTATAACGGAATCCTTAAAAAGAGGCACATAGAAACAAATTGGTTAATCTTTGTTTGAAATGCATAGATTATGCTTACCATTGGTTACTACCTTCCATAGTTTTACCAAGAGCTCCATACGCCCCTGGTTTAAATTCCTTATAGCACTGTACCCAATTGCACAAACATGATGGCACAGAAGTTCAGTAAAACAAAATGCAAGAATAGATTACTTCCGTTTTGACACGAAAATAACTCTTTCAGAAGACGAGTACAAACTCACGTCTATAGCTTCATGCATATCCGGTACTCCTTTCGTTATGTTTTCTCCAATTCTTTGATATCCTCTGCAAACAAAATTTTAAATGAACATTGGCTTCTTGATATTCTTAGCAGAATGTTTCATTTGGCTGTTTAATTGTGTGAGAAATAAAATGCTATCCTGTACAAGTTACAACAAACCTGTATCCACTGGCTGGAGTCAACTTGATCTTGTTTTTTTCTTCATTAGGAAGTTGGAAAAACATGCGTGTCGCTTTCTTTACCTCGCTAAGGAGGGATTCAGGAATATTGTGGCCCTTCTGATAAACCAGCAGACATACTCTTGTCAAATATCATGTTAACGAATTTATGCTAAATGTATAAAGAAATGGGAGGATAGTAAAAAGAAAATATCATCAATAGCATTATACCATAAAGTATTAGAATTAAAACAAAAAACTTCATGTATTGAGAAATAAGGGTGTTATTAATTGTTCTCATTACAGCTAGCCAAAATATTTTATACTTCTTTTTCTTGAAAATCGTCCAATAAAAATTAAATTTTACCCATAATTATAGCTGATTGTCCTTAAGATAATAATAATAATAAGTTACCATACTTTTCAATCTCTTCCTAATATGCTAGCCAAGTCAACTAAATTTAAAGAAGTAAAGACTTATACAGAGTTGGAGGTGTAAAACCATTCCAAGTTGACTCCAAAGTCATAGTCATAGACTCATAGCAATTGAATTTAATGGAACCAGGCCAGGTTTTCCTCAGAAAATTTAATGGTCGCAGAGTTACCAGGTCAATGAAGTTATTTGAAAATTTTTTAGAAGGTTGTGACCTCATTAATCTTCCTTTAGTCCATGGGACATTTATTTGGTCCAATCTGGGGCCCAACGCTATTCTTAGTCCCTTGGCTAGGATTCTTGTTTCCAAAGATTGAACGGCATGTTCTAGCCCTTTCAAATTCGAGAACATGTCACTACAACATTGATTTTTTAAAATTCTATCTCCTGTTGGGGGTCCAAAATGAGTGTGGAAGACGGGACACGGGAGGACTTAAGTTCATGAAAAAATTGGGGAAGTTGAATAGTTGAAAGTGGAATTTGAATGTTTTTGGGATATCTAACTTAAACAAGAGCTTATCAACATTATGAAAGCTTTGGATGGAGAGAGGTAGTCCTAACGATGGGGTTAGGAATTAGTTCTTCCAATGTAGACTAGTTGGAGGTAGAAACCAAGTGGGAATTAAAAGTAACTAGTAAGTATCGAATTCTGTTGGCAAAAACCTCACACCTTCACTGAAGGGTGTTTTATTATTATTATTTTTTTATTTTGTAAAGACACAATTTTATATGAAATGATATTTATAAGAAAGGATGGATATCAAAAAAAAAAAAAAAAGATATTTATAAGAAAGAATATGTCTTTTACCAAATGACACAACCTTTTGTACAGGGAGATGTGACTATTAGATGACACCATAAATGTACTATATATATGGGGTCCTTTTTCACACCTTTTTTTGTATGATTGCTTACATATTTTTGAGTTTGTATGCTCATTTTGTTAAAGTGAAATATTGACAAGTTAGCAAAATTGTCCTATCCGAGACAGTTTGTACAGAACAGATTTGTTTTAAGAAAATAATCTTTCAGTTCGGTTCTTATTTTCTTAATTTTAGTATCCTGTCAACAACAGAGTCAATTGGTTCCTGTTCCTGAGTTCATTGACACATCAAGTAAAGCATGAATGAAGAATTTGAAGA